TTTTTTTTTACAATACGTACTATATTGTATTTTGATAAACCTTTTTTAGTTTTAAAACAAATTAGAAATACATTTTAGTAAGAGTTATTACTATAATTATAAATTTCTTTATATTACGTAGTATAAGTATTTAATATTTATTTTATTTATTTTGAATTTATATGTATACGTACGTATAATACTTTTAGTAACACCAGAATTTTAGTGAATTCGTTAAAAAGCTTTGTATCACATTATTCAACAAATATTAATTAGTTTTATCGGTTTTGATTTAAAATATTTGTGTCATATAACTAAATAATTATATCATTTTTATTATAGACACGTAAAGAAAAGAGTATTTGAAACATTTGAGGATATTTATAAATAAATAAATAGTATAAAAGAATTAAAATATGTAAATGACTTTGAGACTTTGTAAATATGATAAGTAATCAATAAAAATTAAAAACCTGGTAGGATATCTAACGCTAATGCCAAGATCCGCATTGATTAGGCATATTGTTTATCGATTATAAATCATAAAATTTATTGTGACTTTTACACACTTTAAATTTTTTAAAGTTCACAAAGAATGAAAATTCCTTCCTAAATAAGGAGGTTGAAAGAAACTTATTTATATGCTAAATTTATTTATTTTTAAAGGCAACCACCAATAAAAAAATTAATCTTGAATCCTTATAATTTAATAATGATAAAATAATTTAATGAAATTCACATCTGAAATTGGTCACTTTCTCTCAATGAATAAGGAGTAAAAAAGAAATCATCACAAGAAGAAGATCGCTTAGGGAAATAATGCACTGTTGCGAAAATCGACCATATGTGTGACGTACAATTCGAATACGTAACGATAAATGATAATGTCTATTTTTTTATAATAGCGATAGATGATAAATTATAATTGGTAGAGAGTCTCGTGTTATGATGTTATTATCCGACATTTATTACTCCGATGTCAATACTATGTCAATTATGTCAAGTTAATCTCCACATAGTCAGCTGACAGATCGAAAAACATATCAATCATATCAACGTTTATAAATGCGTTAGTTACACACGAACATAAAAAACTCGTTATCATTATAAAAATATTTACCAAATATTTATTAACATTAAAAGAAATTCTAGGTAAGTATAATTAGTATGCTTAAGAATTAAAGTAAATAATCATCAGATCATGAGCATGTTAATTTATCACTTAATTATCTTATTACCTTAATACGTATTGAACTTTCTGTACACAAAGTACTACTACTACGTAACATAAAAATATTAATTTTTTTTTTCTAAACTAAAATGAATTATATTTACACGGTTCTCATGATAATGCATGATAAAAAAAGAAGAATGCGGAGTAAGAACTTTTCCCCTTAAAATCTTTACCAGTTTATCGATTAAAAAAAAAAAAAAAAAAAAAAAAAATAGTTATTTTAGAAAATAATACAGTATACAAGTATAAATAAAATTAATCCTGAATATTTTTTCAATAATCTATCGGATCAGAAATTTTATCTTACGAATCATATATTTTTATATATTTGCAGATAAACTTTTTTACTAATCAGAAATTTTATACACTATAAATTTTATATATTAAAATACGCGATAATTATATTTAAAAATTTTTTTCGCGTTCTTATTTGTCTTTTATTAATCCTTAATTGTCCGGATTTTCTATTATTATAATATGATGCAAAAAAAAAAAAGAATGCTAGACTAGATTAAAAAAGATATTAATAATACAAGAACTGATTATTAATAAAAAAGAATGATTATGTTTTAAATGTCCAAGAACGCAAAAGAATACTACTACTACTACTACTATTTTTTTTAACGATGCAACTGATCTCAACAAATTGACCAAGAAATTTTTTTTTTTTTTATAATTTACAAAGTTTCTCGATCATAAATTTGCGAGTATTGCATCTTATAAGAATGGGAGGTCTTGTTCACAAACGATGAGGAAAGGATTGTTTTCTATATTGCTAATTATGTATATATATATATAAAAAAAAATGGGGGGGAATAGAAAATAATTACAGAAAAAATAACCATGACCTTAACCATTCGGAACTTGTGCAAAACGACCCTCGAGAATTAATCCCATCCATCATCATCATCTGCATATTTTGCCCATTCTTAATTATAAAATCCATAACGATAAAAAACATTCTTTTGCGAAACTAAATAAAAATAATAAAATATATATAACTTATGTGAAATTTTGTTTTTATATATAGCTCATGTAATTTTTTTTTTTTTTTTTTTTTTTTTTTTGATAACGATTGTTCTTTTTTTTTTTTTGAATTTTTTCTTTTTTTTTTTTATGTAACATTTAGATGAATGTGTTAAAAAATTTAAGTGCTATACGAATTTCCTTTATTTGCCAATCATGTTAAAAAAATTCATAACAAGTAAATGTCTCTTGTAGGGCATTACAGGCATAATAAAGTACAAAAAATTCGAAATAACAAATACTATTTCTTTTTACATCCAAATAATAAAAGTTGACGTTGATCCTTTTTTTTTTTTTTGCCAATAACCTTTTTACGTCATCACTGGTGGTGAACCACTATAGAAACAATATTGTTTTACAAGTTCACAATATGAACTTGATCCGATCGCAGGTCTCGCTGAAGGTATAGCGATTGGTGTTGAAGATTTATTCATTGAATCGAAAATTCCAACCCCTTTTGGTGAGTTTTCCCATACTGATGGTTCTTTTGTTACGGGCATACCATCAATACAATTACCAGGGAAGAATGAAGAAAAGCTTTCATTACTTAAATATGATGGTTGATAAGTACGATTGATAGGTGTAGATGTGATGACAGAATTAACATTTTGAGCTGCTATCAATGAAAGACCAATATCATAACGGGGACCACCAATTGATTTCTTTATAGTTGTCATAGAAATTGAAGAAGAATTTATAATAGGTGGAGAACGAACAGGAGAATCAGCGTCAAAATTTCTTGAACGATTATTTATAGGAGTTGACCATTTGGAAGTAGTCTTAGTAGTAGTAATAGATGAAGATTTCGAATTATTATAATTTTTTGATGATGTAGATAATTTTGTTGAAGAGGAGGATAATCTCTTAAAATTAACTTGATAATTTGAACCATTATTATTATCCCAGAAATCACGATCATTAACTTTGTAATGAACAGCAAAATACATTGTTTTTCCATCGATTTGATTCCTTGAATTATCTATTAATTCTATGGAAAAGTTGAATAAATCGGTACTATTCTTATTATCTTTATCCTGGACTCCTTCAGCGTAAGTGGCCGGTACTTCCGATACTGATTGCCAAAAATCAAATGTATATCTAACTTCAACATTTTTTTGAAAAGCTAAATTTTGAACTTGAATGCGACCGGAAAGTTTTCGTTTATCGGAAGAAAGAAAAATTGATTCAACAAATACAGGTTTTGATTTATGCATTGTAGTTATTAAAGGCATATTTGGAAGAGTTATAGATAAATCAAGTTCATCATCATCATTTTCATTATCACTATCCAAATCAGATATTGAAAATTCAAAATCTTCATCATCAGAATCCTCATCTGAAGAAACTTCTGCACTAACAGCTTGTGGTTTTTGAGCTTCCTTAAATAATCTAATTTGTTCAAGATCGGTATTAAAGTGAACATACTTTGGGAAAGTAGGAGTAGGAGGTTCAGATTTAACCTTTTTTAGAGATGATTTTACTATTTCACCACTTTTTTTTCTTAGTAAACAAGGAGAAATAATTTCGGTAGAAAGTTGAGGGGGTAAATCAACTTTTAATGAAGGTTTTCTTGTAAATGATTCAGGAGCAGACCTTCTTCTGTTTGGAGATGTTGATAATTGAGGAGAAGTAGATAAAATATCTTTAACTTGTTTAATAGCAGAGTCACGATCTAATTCATTATTTGAATCTTTTTTTATGGAAATAACTTGTGAACTAGATTTCGTTGAGGTACTCGTTAAGGTGTTTGATGATGAATTATTTTTTGAGGTATTTGTTGATGTATTTGTTGAAAATACGGAGATAGATAAATTCGCGAATGAATGACTAATGACATTTGCATTAAAATCATCCTTTGCTAAGGGCCACCCATGATAACTTTGGTTATTGGCTGGAGATTTGCCTTGATTAAGCTTACTGGCAGACGACGCGGTTGGAACGTAAGGCATGGTGGATAAAGAATTCTGATGTTCTAGAAAGGTTTAAATGAACAAAAAAAAGAAATGTATTATTATTAGCGACCAGAATTATATAAATGCGTCTATTTAAAATTTTATTATATAATAATGTGAAAAAATCGCGTTTGAAAGTAAAAAATCAATGTTAGGAATTTTTCAAAGAAGTTTTTAAAAAAAAAAAAAAACGGTTTTACGCTCGTTAAAAAAATAAATTAGATTTAGTAAGTGAATACTCACTTTAATGAGATTCACTATACAAGAAAACCAATGTAATAACTTTTATTTAATTAATAATATGAAGTGTTTTTTTTTTTTAAAAAAAAAAAAATTTTATATCTTTTTTACGTTTTTTTTTTTTTTTAAAAAAAAAAAAAAAGATTTTATATCTTTGTTACGTTTTTTTTTTTTTTTTATTTGAAAAAAATGTCCAAGTTGTAAAAGGTAAATGTAGGGGAGAAAATTTTATTTATGATAACAGCTTCTTAAGAGCTTTTATATATGAGAATTGATATGGTATTAAATATTTTTACCTTAGAGAATTGGTCGAATGACTGAAGGGCCGAGAAAAGAAAAAAAAAAG